ACCACCACCACCACCATCTTTACCACTATATCTATCACCATCATCATCACATCTGTCTTTTCAGTTTTGTGTTACTACAATGAAGCACCTGAGGCAGGCTACTTAGAAAGAAGAAAGTTAGTTTCAACTCATGGTTCTGAAGGTCTGAGGATGAGGAGTCACGTCTGGTGATGGCCTTCTTTCTGCACGACTTCCAAGGATGTGAAGGGCATCACATGGCAAGAGACAGAGTGTCTATATCGATATAAACTATGAAACTCCTCTGCTCTTTTCTCCCTTTTCTTATAAAGCCACCAGTATTCGATCTTGTGGGCTCCACTGTAATGACCTTATCTAATCCTAATCACCTCCTAAAAGCCCCACCTCTAAACACCATAGTTGGGTTAAGTTTCCATCCTCTTAATGCTTCACCATGGGGATGAAGTTTCAACAGGTGAAGCCTTGGGGGATTACACTCAAACCATATCCAGATCCGCACCATCATCATCAATGTCATCACCACCATCACCACCACCACCACCATTGCCATCACCACCATATCATCAGTGTCGTCACCACCACCTTCACCATGACCCACCCCATCACCATCTTCACCATCACCACCACGTTATCACCACCACTACCATCATCACCATCATAACCATCACTGTCAACACCATCACCACAACCACCATTACCACCACTCTTTCCTGTTAATCTATCCAAATCACTTCTGCACTATCCTTCTCTTCTTCTTCCTCCATTTTCTTCCACCTTTCTTTTCATCTTGTCAGATTCAACTTGAAATTGAACGACCAGGTCAGTGCACCTGGTGGTTCTAGTTCTTGCTCAGTAAGGTGAAATTATGTCTTGTATTTTTTTCAAAGTTCTTCTATTCTCAGTTTCAAAACATCCGTCCTGTCGGCTGGACACCCATCCCAACTTTTGGCTCAGGTTGAATCTTCCATTTTCCCTAGAAGAGCCAATCAATCATCCCTTCTTTCTTCTGTCACAAGGCAGGACTCTACTCCCTGACCAGAGCTGCTCAGGTCAGGAATGGACACCTGGCCCCAGCTGACCCTAGCTGAATCTCTCTCCCAGGAGTCAGGAGTCAGGACCCTAAAAATCCAGGGGAGCAACAGTCAGGATGCAAAGAGCAACTACATCAGAAAAAGCCAGTCTGCAGAAATATAACAGCCCAGCCAGAGGAAAGATGGAGGAGTGAGGAGAAGGGAGAGACTTGGGTCCTGCCACAGCGAAAAGGCAGCTGTCTGTGAGCCTGGAGGACAGCCCTCACCAGCAACTGAATCTGCTGGAAACTTCACCTTAGACTTCCAGCCTCCAGAAGTGTGAGCAATAAATTTCTGTTGTTTAAACCATCCAGTCTGTAGCCCCTGCAGACTATGGCGGCCCCAAACACACAGGGTTTGGCAAACTTTTTCTGTAAAGAAAAAGGTGGTAAGTATTTTAGGTTTAATGGGCTATGTGGTGTCTGTTACAACTATTCAACTCTGCTGACATAAATGAAAGTCCCTCTAGACATCCAAAAATGGATGGGCGTACTTATGTTCCAATAAAACTTTATTTAAAATTAACAGGCAGTGGGCCAGACTTGGTCTCTGGGCTATAGTTTGCATGATCACTGGCTTAAAACAGCAACAATAATTCATTTTGTTCAGAAATTAAAATGATGACAAGGTACAAGCTCCATCTAGTTGTAGCTGGGGTGGCCACCCAGGCCGGAGGAGTCAGTCCCAACGTGGTGCACTTAGATGGCCTTCAAAGGACCCTGGCTGCTGGTTGGAGCCCCCCACCCCCGAGCTGTACTCCACAATTTGCTCCTCATTGTCCTGTCCAGGGTTGCCTGGCCTTCCTTACAGCATGGTGACACTTCCAAGCTTGAGTATCCAGAGAGCATGAGGCTGGGTCACTGCTTATGCGTTGACCTTTGAAGTCATATTGCGACATCCACTCTCCTCTAAAGCCAGCCCAGATTCAAGGGGAGGAAGGGCAGAGCCCACCTCTTGCTGGGAGGCACATCAGTATCCCACTGGGGAAGCACAGATGGAGTGGGAGCCCTTGCTGCAGAATCCTGTGGGCTCAGGATAAACCCAGGGATCCCAAGTTCTTTGATGGAGACAAACACTTTTTGTGGAGATGCAAAGGGGTCTTTCTTTATATAGAAGGCCAGCCCATGTCACTGGAGCTGGAAGCAAAAAATTTCCCCTGTATGGGAAGACAGGCCAGCCAAGGAAACATCAAGTACCAGTGCTTAAGGCAGAAAGACAGCAGAGAGCTGGGACCCTGCCTGCCATTATTTCCCCATTGGCAAGGCCCTCACCCGGGTGGGGCACACTGTTCTGGGAGACAAGAAGAAGAGTGAGTTGGTATCACCGAGGGCACCTGAGTTCACTGAAGTGGGTAGTCAGCCATGGGAAGAGGCCACACAATTCTGCAAGTGGGGATGGCTTTTTCCTCCCTGGTTTTTGATGTGTAAGTTGCTGGGTGGTACTGTTTATCGCCTTGGAGAGTTTCCTCTAAAATTCAATCAATACTGCCAGCCCTACTTTATGGGAGAATGGCTTCCAAATTGCACAAATGTCTCTAATATCTGCATTCCAGAGCCTGTCACTGCTGGAGTTGCTCTGGCAGTGCTGGAGGAGAGAGGTCCCTTGCATATGGGTGGTGGGGACAGAACTGCAATGAGGAAGGGTATGCACGCCCAGGGGTAGAAGGTACTGACCCAGTAATCGCCTGGAACCAATCAGCATTTTCCAGGGGGAGCTCGGTTGCAATCCACAGCTTGTGTGAGGAAGGGTTGCCAAGTCGGCAAAAAAGGGTAGGGAATAAAATGGAAGAAAGAAAATACAGTGCACAGGCGTGGATGGCAAGGTTTATTTCAGCAGTGGTTGGTAGGAGCAGGCTGAAGGCTGCCCATCCCCGTGAAGGAATCCACAGCCTCTTCGTGACCACACCACTTTCCACTTTCCAAGCTTACTAGGTGCTGGGTGAGCTGACCCTTGATTTCTCCGGGGAAGTCACTTTTCTAGACAAGAGAACGGAGCTCAGCGACACTGACTTCCCAAAGCTACACAGCCAGCAGGTCCCCTGGAGCCAGGATTGAATCTAAATCTTGTAAGGACAAGGGTCCCCCCGCCCCATCTGTGGCCCTTTTGCAAATTCATTCAAAATATGTGATTTTTTTCATTGACACCAAACAGGCCTCAGATACTATTTCATACCCATTTCAATTGATAAAATAAACTGAGACAAAATGAGAAGCACTGGTCAGAACAGTGGAGAACCATGCACAGATGCACTGCAGGCTGACACTTACCTTGCTCCAGGTGTCTGGGACAATTTGAGAGCTTCCAATAAAGGCTAAGATGTGCTGGACCCAACAAGTCCACCCTAGGTATTCTGAGGAGATGGGAGGGGAAAGTGCCTTCAGCCTCGTAGCTGCAGAAACCTGGAGTGAAAGTCCCCAAACGTCCTTGGGGTGGGGAAGGAGGTGACTGCCCTCCTGGCTTGGCTGGAGCAGGTTTTGCACCCAAGGCAGGAGGCAGAGGTTGACGGCTCCCGGGAGGGGCAGATGTTCTTTTTAGTAAAAGGGGACCCTCCTTTAGTAACAGGTCGGGAATATGTGAGCAGGGCCCCTGGCTAAGGGGAGGCTCCAATCGCCCCGCGTCTGTGCTCAATCCCTGGCCTCCGATTCTTGCCTCACTGCGCTGCTGCCTACACCTGTCAGCCCTGACCGTCCAGCCCCCTCCGCAGCCCACTGCCGCTGTTTGCTGTACGCGCATTCAGGGAGAGCTGGGGATGCGGGTTTCTGCCTGCGGATTTATGGCCCAGGAAATGCATTTTAAATTAGTCCCACGATACTCAGATCCAAGAATCAGACATCATCTCTTGGGGCGGGGGTGAGAGTATGTTTGGAGATAAACCCAGGAACAGCACAGTGGTGATGACATTTTGTTCCCCTAAAGCACGACAACTCTAGGAGTCGGGGGCTACCTGTTGGCCAGGGCGCAGGGCGCACGGGAGTTTGGTGACTTCATACGTGTGGCCCGAATTTCTGTTAATTTATGGGGTGGAGGGAGGTGAGCGCCCCCCTCCCCCGACACTTGGACTCCAGCGGCCCGGAAGGAAAAAGGATAGATTATTTGTCATAGAAAAAAACCACCTGTGGTTTGCAGAGTCTGTTAGGTCGTGGGGGGGATGGGGTGGAGTGGGGCACGCGGCACGGATCCGAGCCAGGAGGGAGGGGTGCGGCGCCGGCAGGCAGGGCCAGGGCTGCCCAACTCCCCTGGCCTGCTCTGCCCGCTTCCCCTCCCGACTCCCGGGAGGTGGCCGAGAGCGCTTCGGTGCTGGGCGCCTTCCCATTACGCAGTTCCTGTCCCTTTAAATCCAAGTCCCGGGAAGGGGGGCTGGGGGCACCGGGTTGGACCCCTGATCCCCAGCGGGCCTGGGCGGGGGGACTGTAAGGGTTGGGTTGGGGACAGCGGGCCGTGCGCCCTGGTGTGTGTGTGGGGGAGAGGGGGCGAGGGGTCCCCGCGCGTGCGCGCGCCCTCGGGCGGGTCGGCAGCGCCCCTCTCCAGGCGGCCGCGCGCCGGGGCGGGGGGCCGGGGCGGGGGCGCGCGGGCGGGCGGGGACGCGCCTCGCCGGCCCAGGCGCGCGAGCCGAACCCGGAGCGCACGCCTCCGCCGCCGCCGCCGCCGCCGCCGCCTCCCGGGCCCGCCGCATTGCTGCTGCCGCCGCCGCCGCCGCCGCCGCCCCGCGCCCCGGCCCGCGGTCCCAATATGGTGCAGCCGCCCGCGCCGCCGCCCGTGCCGCCGCCGCCCGCGGGCCCCGCCGCCGCCCTCGGGCGCCCGCAGCGCGGCAGCCGCAGGTGGGGGGCTGCGGGCCGGGCCTGAGCGCCTTCGCCCGGGGCGCGCGGCGAGGGGCCCTGGCGCTGAGGTGGAGCCGCGGGCACAGCCGCCGCGCTCCCCCCTCCCGCGCCGCCCTCCCCCGCCCTCCCCGCCGGCCCCGTCTCCAGCGGGAGCGCGAGACGCTCGTTAGGCTTCGCGGCGCAGCTCGAAAATGAAAAATCGCCCCCGGTTGACTTAGATCCTCCCGAGCCGGCGCCGCGGCCGCCCCGCTCCAGCCCGGCTCGCCGCGGCTTCGGCTTCTCCATTCCTCCGGAAAAAAAGCAAAGCAAAACAAAAAGCCAGCCAGCCAACCAAGACTCCGGTTTGTTGATCGCCTGATTGTTTTTTTTTTTTTTCACCGCTTGCGGGATTCGCAAACCGCGTTACATGCATGTCCAGTGGGGGTAGGTTTAATTTTGACGATGGAGGGTCCTACTGCGGAGGCTGGGAGGACGGCAAGGCGCACGGCCATGGCGTCTGCACCGGCCCCAAGGGCCAAGGCGAATACACCGGCTCGTGGAGCCACGGCTTCGAGGTGCTGGGCGTCTACACCTGGCCCAGCGGCAACACGTACCAGGGCACCTGGGCGCAGGGCAAGCGGCACGGCATCGGCCTGGAGAGCAAGGGGAAGTGGGTGTACAAGGGCGAGTGGACGCACGGATTTAAGGGGCGCTACGGGGTGCGGGAGTGCACGGGCAACGGGGCCAAATACGAAGGGACCTGGAGCAACGGGCTGCAGGACGGCTATGGCACAGAGACCTACTCGGATGGAGGTAGGTGCTGGGGTGGGGTGGGGTGGGGGAGTGGGGAGGACCGCCAAGGGCTGGGGCTGGGGCGGAGGAAGGACCTGCCCCCTCTCCCTTCTGTTTACCTCCTGGGAAGTTGAGCCTCCCTTGCCAGTGGGGCTGTGGGCTCCTGGGGGGCATTTCCAGGGCCCCTGGCCACAGGTTGCCCCAATCTGGTGGGGAAGGTACCCCATGCCAACTGAAGGTCTGGGAGGCTTTCTTTCCAGTGGCCCAGCCAGGCCCAGCCAGGCGCTGAGCCCTGGTATCAGTGCACCGTCAAGAGCGGGCCAGAGACCTGCCAAAAAGGCCAGGCTGGGCCCTCAGCCACCTCTGGGACCCACTGAGGGCGGAGGGGGCTGTTGACGGCTCACTGGGAGTCATGCCCTGGCTTTGCTGCTTGTTTTCTTGTGGTGCCCATGGCCTCCCTCAGTCCTGAATCAACCCAAGCCAATGGAGAGGGAACAACCGGGAGCTAGAGGCGGGGATGCCAACCCAAACCAAAACAGCCAGGCAATAAACTTCTAGGTGGTTGGACCCGGCTAGCACTGTCGAAGCAGGCTGCGGGAGGGAGGGAGGGAAAGAGGGAGGATGGGAGGGAGGGAGGGAGGCCCATCTGTTTAGTGAGAGCCCAGGAATCTCGCCTTTCAGTGGCTGAATCATTTTCACCGTTAGTTTAGGGAATTGCTCTGTGCCTTCCTTGTAAGATGCCCCTGCATTCTGGGCAGAGCTGGGTGCCAGAGCCAGAGAACTGCCTGTAACATGGTTTCTGTGCAGGAAGCTCTGGCTGGCTTTGCAGCCTAGAGGCTAGACCTCAAACAGACCCTGTTCCAGGTACCCTTTCCCCTCCTGGAGTCTGTCCCCAGAGGTGGCTCCTGTGCCTCCCTCTGGGTGGCAGGCTTGTTTTTCAGGCATGGATGCTGGGAAGGGAGTGAAATGTCGGGAAAGAGATCATGAGTATGCATGTGTCTCCTGCCTGAGTGCTCAGGAAGAAAGCTCTGAGCACCTGCTCCCCGGCCATGTCCAGGAGTGAGGAGAGCTGGGGAGTAATTATTATTTTGGCTTATGCAGCTCAAGGCAGGTTCATTTATTACCCAACGAGGAGGCGGAGTCTGGGCAGTTAATTATATAACAGTGCTTCTGCCTGTCGGAGCTGGGCCCAGCCCTGGTCCCAGGTGGCCTTTTCTGTGCTGTTGTTTTCTTGGAGCAGGTTGGAGTGCTTCCCTGACCCTGGGGTGCTGAGGGCCACAGGGGTAGACGGTCCTCCCCACGTTCCAGGCGTGGGCCTGTGTGTGTGTGTGTGTGTGCACGCGCTTGCACACGCAGGCATGGTGAGGCCCAGGCAGCAGTTGTGGGTGGCCAAGCAAGTGGGCGAGCAGCCTGGCACTCCCAGCTGGGCTCTTTGGGAGCCTGGAGCAGTTGTTGCCCCAGGGCTCTGGCTAGACTGCTCTGCAGAACTGTTCTCCAAGGGGGCTCCCGGTGGGGCCTGAGCCAGAAAAACTCTCCATGGCCCTGTGCAGGCCAGGCGCTCTTCTGAGGGTACAAGGAGAGGGTACTGGACCCAGTCCTGCCCACCCTCCCCAGGTATCTACGTCCAGTAGCCTAAGGAGCTCCTTCCTTCATTCAACAAATACTTACTGAGCCGTTACTATGACCAAGCTTTGGGAATGCAGCAGTGGGGAGACTCCTTGTCCTCGTGGGGCCTCCGTTTATGGAGAAGGGATGGGGCTGCTTCAGGGCAAGGAGGATCTGAGCCTGTGGCTGGCCAGGAGTTTGGGATCTGACATGTTGTTGAAAAAACACTTCCATGGATGATTTCTACTCTCCACTCAGCCAGTTCCCCTGAGCCCTCAACTTCCTGAATCACTTTCCTCACACGTCCTGCTTGATCCTGTCCATTTACAAGTGAGGCCATAAGGTCAGGGGTCCATGTAAGCCTGAGTCCAGGACCCCAGCCTAGGTGGCAGAGCCACCCTGTCTGTCTGGGGCCACGCCCCCTGGCTCCCAGCCCTCCTGCCTAAAGGGAGCCGGTTTGTCCACACTGTCTCTGGGAGATCGTGGCTTGGTTTTCTCCATGTTCATCCAGGCAGGTGTGCAGATGTGGGCTTCAGGGCGGGCTCTTCCTCTTGGCTGGCAATATGGCATGAGGGGAAATCAGATTGACCCTTTTGGCCTGAAGCGATCAGACCTAGATATCGGGGTCACATCTTGGAGCATGGTCCCAGCTTCTCATTAGGAAGGGGGTGTCTTGGGAACTTAGGACCCTGGGCAGTCATCTGCAGACTAGAGTGGGCTGTGGTCACCTGCTGGAGCAGGGCAATGCCTTCTGCCTTCTCCCCTCTCCCGGTGGTCTCTCGTGAGTGAGTACTCCCAACTCTAGTCTGACTTCTTCGTACAAGAGAATTTGGGGCAGGCCTCAGCAGAGCTCCCCAACTTTAGCCCAGCTCCCGGTGCTGACTTGGGGAAACAGCAATTTTCATGAATAATGCAGGACCAGCAAATGTATTCTACATTTAGCTGGAATTCGTATGGAATCCATTTCGACAGGGGACAATTCTGCCAAGTCCTCCCCCAGCTCACCCTCCCCCGGGCACAGACAGGCGTTGCTCTTGATGTGAGAGGAGCGGTTCCCACAGTCTGTGTGGCGAGGCTGGGGGGCCGTGGGGTAGCAGGAGTCACGCTCGCTCAGAATTGTCCACCTGGCCTTGAACCCGGCCCTGCCGGTGCTCCACTTTGTGACCTTGGGCAAGTTACTTCATCTCTCTGAGCTTCTGTTTCTTCATTTTTACAAAGAGCTGATGGTAATACCGTAAAGTGGGTGAGGGTTAACGGAGAGGAGGGCAGAGCAAGCATGCTTTATCAGCATTTTCATCATCGCGGCCCACATGCAGTGGGTGTCACTTATATGATCATTATCAGAACCAGTAACCAGGCATGCCCGGTTGTCATGCCTGATGATAACGCTTGCACTGTGTGCCGGACATGTCAAGTGTTTGCGTGAATTTTCTGCTTCATTCTTACAGCTCCAGAGGACCAACGGCCTCGTTATTCCCATTTTGCACTCTGGGAAGTGGAGGCTTCCAGCAGCTGAGCGCTGGATGGCGACAGTAAGCACGGGCAATGTTGGAGTCTGCTTTTGCTCAGTTCGCTCTGTAACTCCCTTGTGCAGAGATGCCACCTGCCCTTGCGTCTTCAGCCCCCATACCTTCTCCTCCCTGAAGCGGTACCCAGTGGCGCAGGGAGATGCACACGTGCAGATGTGCAGACCCCAGCCCCAGTCCCACCGTGACTCACTAGGCCCTTGTGCTTTGCAGCCCAGGTAAAGTCCTCCTCCCGGGTGCTAAAGACCAGAAGTTACCCCCTTGGATAAACCTCCCACACCCTGAGAGGTATGAGTCATCTCCCGCCCAGCCGCTCCCCCTCATACGCAGGTCCCGTTCACCGGCCCAGATTCCTCAGCCCACACAAATCCCACACACCCACAGTCAGAATCCAGATCCACCCAGGCGCCTGCGCGCGCGCACACACAACACACCTGCCACCCGGAGACATTTTCTACCCCGTCCCCCAAAACAGCCACGTGTGCCCTCCTGGCTTTGTTCGCTCCCCCACTGCCGAGCGCTCTGAGTCCCAGCTTCCCCTGTAAACGCGGAGTTCAGGCACTGGAGGCAGTGAGTGATATGTTTGTTTCCATTGGAAACACATTTATGCTGTTAGCACCCCTCACGGAGGGGAAAAGACCCCTCATGCAAACAACCGACCATCGTCGGGCATATTTTTGGGACTTGGCTATGACTACGTGAAAAGTATTCTTTCTTCTTTTTTTCTTTTGTTTTTCTTTGTGGCAGTTCTAGGGGTTGAGCTCAGGGCCTCTCACTTACTAGGCAGACCTCTACCTTTTGAGCCACCACGCCGGCATTTTAAGAACGCATAGGCCAAGGTTAGGAGAGAGTGGGTTCATCTACACGGATGTTAGACCAGGAAACAGAAGGCATTTTCTCAGAGTCTCTCTTAGCTCCTTGGGGGCTTGAGAGGGGTCAGAAGGCTCCATGGGGAAAGGAGAAGAGAAGCACAATGGTTACAGCTGAGAAAGGAGAGTTGGTGAGATGCTGTCCTACCTTGGCCACAAGCCGCATGGCGGGCTGATGATGGGGGCCTGCCGTGAGCCGTGAGGGAGTAAGGGTCAGCACCGAAATGCAGGAAGGGATGTATGTCGTGCAGGTCATGGCCTTGTGACCTGTGGCTGAAATAGGCCGGTATGTACTGGTCACTCAAGTATTTGTGCAAGGAATGGACTCTGCATTGAGCCCTAACTAAGTATCACCATCAGTACAGTTGACCAGAGACAGCAGAGGGCTGCAGCCCCGTCTTCTCTGAGGACACAGGCTAGAGGGAGGAAGACCCTTGGGAAAAATGGTGCCGGCGGCAAGTGTGTGTGTCAGCGCAGGAACCTCTGTGTCTTCCGTGAAGACTTTCTCCCTCGGTTTTCTGGTCTCTGCAGCTTTGAACTTCTCTAGCTATCCACCATGAGCCAGGCATTTTGTTTGCCCTTAAATGGCAAAAAGATGGTAAGACTGTGGGCCTAGAAGACAGGGACTGCTTGTGTACATTTCCCACAATCCCCTGTGCAGGTCAGCCACGTCTCCAGTGTGTGGTCTCCTTGTGTGTGAGAGGACACAGTAGGCACAGCATTGAATGGGGACCTGGCTTTGCTTTGAGCCTGAGCAGTGCTTGTGAGGAGGCCGGACCTTGGAGAGGTCTCTTCAGGACCTTGGAGAGTGCCCCCCACCTGCAGCTGGGCTGCCTGGACCCTGGCGCTTGGCTCAGATGTCTTGCAGAAGACTTTCTTCGAGCCAAACCAGGTTCATTCCCCAGTGACCACCTGGCCCTGGACTCCCATGTGTACTTGGCCTGTCCTTCTGTTGGTGGGTCCATGTACCAAGAAACTCCACCACTCTGGGTGCTGGCCTATCTCACCCCAGACTTTTCTG